CTGTTTACGAGCTGATGCTCGAAATTCGAGAAGTGAGCGTGAAAATGGCGGATACCGTGATCGATCACACCTGTTAATTCACGTCACCATGCGCGGAATGTCGACACACGTCGGCGAATGAAATATCTGTCGGGTGATAAACGCACGAAACCATCCGGGACCACGATATGTCCCGACGAGACCGATGCCGAGCTACGTGAAAGAAATAATTCGGGCGTCGACGGGATTCCACGAAGGACGGATTTACGCGCGAGGAGAAGACGAGAAAAAGGAAGAGGAGGACGACGACGACGACGACAACGACGAGGAGGAGAGAACAGCGTCGCGACGCCGGCAACAAGCGCGATACTCGTCGCGACACCGTTGTTTCCTCCTTCAATCCGATGCTGACCGGAAAAGCCGGGCCATTGTTATGCGGCTGACGGAGAATCGTCAGGACTCTACTGGCTGTTTAACATATAATGTGCAGGCGCGTGAAAACGTGGCTGAAATACGTGAGAACACGCGTGCCTCGCGCGTGATAACGCGGCAATTCGACGCTGCAATTCGACGCGCAACTACTACTGCCCGCAATCGTAAATTACTAGAGCAGATCGGGTCACGTTGACCATACGTTTAGTTTATATATTTATTGTGAAAAAAATAGTGGAAAAGAATCGCTTTCATCTTATAGAGGATAAAGAAAGTATCCGTGTTTTATTAAGTTGATTCAAAATTTAACACTGCACAAGTGTTGATATGAAGGAAACATTATTCAAGTAGAGATATTCCAACAAATGAATTGTCTAAACTTCTTAGACCCGAATCTCACTTAAATAAATCAAAATTTGCACCTTGCAGACTTGTAAATTCGCCGATTTGCGGTAGTAAAAATGCTACAAAGTCGCAAGAGTGAATATGTAACTCCAACTTAAAGATTCTTAATCCATACGATCGAATGTTTCAATCGAAGTGAGTTTGCTCCTATTACGGTGGAAGTACATCCGATTTATTCTTTAATTTTCAATAAAAAATATTCACTCAATGATACAGAGAATTCGTTCTGTAACGGTGAAAAGTCACCAGAATTCAAGTGACTTAGCTGTCACTCTACTTTTCGAGTGGAATTTTATTTGAAGGAAGTCAGAGAATGAATCTATCGTTCTAATGAAAGAAATGTTTCGTGATTCCTTTTCTTTCACGATGAATAAATTGAACGAAACATTTGGTCAACTTGACTCGGTTTCTTTTGTCACAAGAGGGTGCGTGAATGTGCACCCTTATTCAGAGTCACGCCGACTTTGTTGCAGATCTGACACAAAATTTTCATGCGTGCTTGGCGCGAAAACGCATTTTTCAGGTGTTTCCCTCGCGAAATCCCACTTTGACGATAAGATTTACACGATTTGTGCGAGCTCCCGCGGCTAACGTCGCGATTGACGTCACGCTCGGCGAACAGCGCGAGAACAGAAAACGCGAGAAATTCAGCGGAGAGAAATTTCATGGGCCTTCGCTTCGCTTCGCTTCGATGAAGATACGATGCGTTCCCTCTCGAAACGACGCGGCCGATCCGCGCTTCGCGAGAAACAAATAGAAAATTGAATTAAAAAGTGTCACTTCGCAGACTAAAGTTTCATGAAATGATATTGTTCTCCAGGAGAAATATAAATTTCGTGTCGCGCCTTTAGATATACGGAACGAAAAACAATTACAACTGTGGGTATTGCGGAAGAACGCAACAAAGAGTAATCAAAAGATGCTGATTGAATCGAAAGATGCTGTTTTAACGCGAGTTGTGTTTCAAATATAAATATAAAATATAAATTGTACAAGACACTCTTCGAAGTAACTCATACAATTATGGTAAAAAAAATATTTCATCACAACTTGATAGATGACATTAAGAAAAGAATAGTTGTAAGTTTATTTACGGAAGATAAAGCTCATTTCTGCGAAATAAAGTTTACCTCTGTGAATAAATTTCGTGTCACACAAATAAAATTTCAAGTACTTTTTCTCGACGCATGTTCGTTAAGGCGCAAATTCACTGCACAATTATTCAAATGACGAGTGATCGTAACAAACGGTTTGTTCACTACAACAGATCGTCAGTTTCAACAGGCGCCCGAGCAAATCGCATCAAAGAACACGTGTGAAGAATATCTGATGGCGCCTGATGACCGCAGTGGCAGCGATTTATCCCAATGTCGTTTCTGGCGATGCGGCTTGCGCGTGAATCATGTTTTTGTCCCACTTTGAGTAGCTCGAAATCCCCGCGAAAGAGAACTCGAGCGGCGACGGGGTCGACTGCGCATTCATTTTCCCTCTGACGAGTAGTCTCCTCGGGGTGGAGCCGATTAACCGTTCTGCGCGACGCAAACAAGGAGCATTCACTCCGTCTATTGTACAATCATTCATTAAGGGCGCAGATCGGCTTCGAAGAGGCGAACCACGCGTTGTTTGAGACCAACGAGCGAGGGGACGAACAGGAGGAGCTGGGGACAGGTCCGATTCACCCACGTGTCACATTTCGGATCTTTGATGTCCGATTTGGAGCTGAAGACGGAAATAGATGGCGCTTTCCTCCCCGTCGGGTCCTTTGTCTCCCGGTTGATGAGCGGGTTCGGTGATTTCAGGCACGCGCATCGATTTTCAGATATCGCCTAGTCACGCGCAATGTCTCGCTCGTCGACTAAACCCTCGGGCGATCGATACTCATCACGAATATTCCGATACCGATTACGCGATGAAGGAGGGATTGGACGCGACAGAGGACCGAAGACTGTCGTTATGAGAAATGTTGATCGACCGGTTTTCCTCACAGTCGCGAGCGGAAACATCGTCGCCGAAGAACGCGCGGCCCCATAAACGAAAACTCATAATGTTTAAGTGTTAATAATAATTATTGAAAATCTCTCAACCACTTGGTCTTGCGGTTATAGCGGAAATTGACTAAATACGAGAAATTAGTTAATTAATATGGATAAATGATTAGCAAACACTACGATATCGCATATGTGTTGTATCTAATCAATATAGGTGATAGAGACGAAATTTATATGTGATCTATTTTCCAATTTAGCAAGAAAGTCTCTCTGTGACACACTATCTAGATTAAGACCGGTCATACTTCTTATTAAAAATTGATAAAACGGCACCTACATTGAATTTTAATTTCTCTACAGATATTGTTAGAATGCTGCCGCTATAAATTCTACGTATCACACAGGCAATTTTCTAGCAGATACAAGAAACAGAGATACATTTTAGCCGTGACATTTAGAATTCTCGTTGAACCAGCAAAACATTTCTCTGAGTTTAAAAGCCAGATCCTCTGCATATTAGTGCAAATAACTTTTAATTGCATGTAATAATAATGTTAGATGCGCGAGCTTTTAGAAACGCTATTATCTTCCTGCAGTTAAAAATTATTCGCACTAACATCCAGGAACTAACTCTTATTGGCTATCTTTCTCTTGCTTAAATTTATGCCTTAGAGAATCTGTTCTTTTTTTGTATACAGTTTTATAATTATTGAATAACTCGACCATGCTCGAGTGAAAATGAGAGATCAGTGACACAGTCAAGAAGGATGGAACTTGCGAATATAAGCAAAATAATAATAAAGACAAATCGGTTCTCGTGATATCGCGCGTCACGATGCCCATAGAGAAGACATGCGGCAGCTCCTTTGGCTTTCGCCAAATGGACAGCTAACGCGTCGGCAAACTGATTGTCAGTTGTGTTAGAGCGTGTTCCCGGTGGATCCAGCAACGGTAACGAAACCGCAATGCTCCGTGGCGATGTAACGTACTTTCGAGCGGACGTGTTCTCGCCGGTCGTGTGGCGCCGGGGCTCTCCGATGCAATCGCTCTGGAACTATCAAGCGGTAAATCTGCGCTCGCAATTCGCGACTTAGGCTACTTCGTACAGTTCTGTCCTCCCTCCTCCCGAAACTGGTGTTATTTTTCTGCTTTTTCGAAATATCAGAAAGAGACTGTTCGTGCGCGAGAGAAATCGTGAGATTCATAATATATTAGCAAGTTATTAAGAACCGTTCGAATATTCCGATAAACGAACAATGCGGTAGCAGCTCGGCGAGTGTGACTCGTTCCCGTCCATTCGAACATCGATGGACTTTCAATCCGAAAATCGCAGATTCGATCTTCAATATTTAGGTCCATATTGCGGTTGATGCTTGATACTTGATCTCAGATCCTTGGATTCAAATCTTTGGATTTGAATTTAGAGTTACGTGTGAGTTTTTCAGTTGAAAGACTCACAATTTTTCAGTATACTGTCACATATAAGTCAACTAAGAGACTCAAGTTTAAGGTCTATATTAATAGTTATAATGTGCACTGAGAGAAAAATATAGTTGCTTTCGGCGTCAACTATACTTTTTTGTGATTTTAACCAGGAAAATAATTAGAAGAATCATCTTTCTAATAACATTTACTAAAACAATGGTTTTTCTAACTATTTTTGTGGTTAAAATCACAAAAGATTAAGTTGATGTCGAAAGCAACTATATTTTTCTCTCAGTGTGAAGCTTGTCTCACATGTGTTATTCAGATCTGAATTTAGAATTATGTATGAATTTTTCAGTTGAATTAATAAATGATTGTAAATATTATATAATATCATATACATCATATGATGCAATTGAGAAACTCAAATCTAATTCTACAACCCATATTAATATCATTATGTGAAACGTGTCTCGTGTGAATCATTCAGACCTGAACTTAGGGTTAGATCTAAGTTTCTCAGTTGAATCACATGATATATGTGAGATCATTTTTGTAATCGTTGAAATTTAACTGGAAAACTCCAAACTCTAATCTGAATACTTTACATGAGACAGGTTTTAAACGACTATTGATACAGACCTAAGATTTGAGTGACTTATGTGTGAGTTGCAAGTGATAACCATTAATACAGGCTTCAATTAGCCGTATAATCCCGTGTCTCTCGCTGAGACCGACTCGCTAACCGCGAAGACGACGCTTCTGTTTCAGGCGCGGACAGCGGCGACGCGCCCAAGAAGAAGGGTTTCTTTAAGGGCTTCTGGAAGAGGTCGCGTCACTACTCGCTGGAGAACCAATAGCCCACGAGGTGCGCAAGGGCGACGAGCTACCAGCAGCAACAGCAGCAGCGAAACAGACAGACACGACAGCAACGACAGCAGTACCAGCAGCATCAGCGAGGCATCGCTACCACGACCCTCGGGAACAACCCCTGCTGCTGTATCGTCCAGTAACCCCGATCCACCACCACACACACGGTGGTGTCGACCGCGACCCGCGGTGTGCGTCCCTTCAATCACCACCCACGATGCATCTCCGTTCCTCTTCGCGCGACGCGCGATGCAAGGCTAAAGGCGAGACGAAATTCGCGTTTCCACCACCTCGAGCCTGGTCAATCGCTTCGGACGAGACGACGTGTGAGCACGAACGTTTCCATCATCGTTGCCGACCTCGAAAGGACACGTTGAGTGATTTCTTTTTTCGCTACGATTCGCAGCCAAAGTCCATTTTCTCAGTATTAAGGATCGACACGCCGCGGCAATTTATATTCTCACATTTCGACGTGAATGAATCGACTGTTGTATGTACGCGGCTTGCTGCGCTACACTTGGCTTCTCTCTGTATTCGTCCTGGACTACGTTAAAACGATACATTTTTCTCTCAGACGAACAGAGATAGAAAGCCGGCCGGTATGATTTCTCAGCTTCGACGGAAAAAGGTGAGTCCCTGCCTGCGCGTTATTTGATTTCCCTTCCCGAATTTTTCCCGAATTTTTCCGTGTTTTTTTCCCGGAAATTGAGGATTATCGTTCAACAGACTACAGCAAGTTTCGTGTCGAACCGTCGTTGCCTTGGAGAATTTCTGGATGAGAGATTCGCCAAGGATTTTCCAGGAATCTCCTAGGCGATCCGCGGAAAACTCCAACACGAGTATCGGGGTGTCGTTGGTTAATCGACTTGAAAAAATTCGCGCGAGGAATCGCGTCTGCCTTCGCGGGAGAACGCGTCGCGATCGCAGTAACCGTAGCGACCGTCTGAAACGAGACTTGTCTCGGATCGAAACGCTTCTTCACGCTGTCTTCGTCACGCCGTCTGTCACGCCGCGTTGGCTTTTCTCGCCACGCATTATCACGCGCTTATATAAAGAGATCCGCGATTTGTGTTCGCCAGGAATCGAGCGCGAGCCCGCGTCCGAGATCGCATCGGGACGGGCTACGAAATCGCCAATCGACGAAAATCGACGGGAAGAGGAGACACCTCGCTTAGCTTCTTGTAGCATTTCCGCGATGTCATAACTCGATTCAACAGTGCTGACCCACGCGGTTCGACGCGTCAGTGGCCGCGTTGGCGCACAATGTGCATCGTTTTGCAAAATTTTTCGCAGGCCAAGTTGTGAAACGTCTTTTTTTATTTACAGAAAACCGAATCTTAATTCGATTTTTTATTGTGTTAAGACAAATTTTTTTTCTTGGGAAGCTTGACTCTCAAATGCGAATTTGTATTATATTTGTATTATATTTGTATTGAGGACGGGTACACGACGGATCGAGTAGTCCGTCGTTAGAACATATTCCGTGTACGTGTTACATATTTTTCAGTTATTACGAAAGAAAGATTGTAGTTAACGAACCACAATCATCGCCAGTCGCGTTTCGTCGATCGACGAGATCGCGCTGCTCTCAGTTCGAGAAACTCTCCTTTTGTAATCGAGAAGCGCACGCTGCGTTTGTAGAGATGAAACAGAGAAACAGAGTAATAATAATATTAATAATAATAAAAGTAATATAATAATAATAATGAACAATTCAATATACAGAGTATTCGGGTATATTTGAGTATACACACACTCAACTTATATTATTATAGGAGACCCGGTGTGTGATATGTCGTGAGAGAGACAAAACTCTAGGGAGCCCAGAGCGAGAGTGTGTGGGTGAGAAAGCGAGGAGCGGGCGCGAGTGCGAACGAGATAAAAGAGAATATCATACGGCGCATTATTATTGATACTTGACTTGTAAGTTCATAGAATCATTAACACGTTGTAACGTTATTATTAATGGGATGATTATACGCTCGCAGACGCGACACATACACGCGCGCGCGCACACACACATACACACACACACACACGTAACACACTCACGCGCGCGCGGAAACGCGCGGACACACTCCCACACTCACATACATACACACGTTATAACGATAATAAGAATAATATATTATTGATTAATATTATTACCAATAATATACGATTAACTGAGATTATATAGCTGATTATAATGTAACGAAAGAGGCCGATGATGATAACGATAATGATGATCTAGAAGAAGGAGAAGAAGAAAAAGATGATGATGATGATGATGATGATGATGATAATGATGATAATGATGACGGTAACTACGATCGTATATATTTAAATAGAATTTTTAAGTCGATGTGTTGCGCGTTCATCCCCTCGGATATCAGACAGAGATGGCCGTGAGACGAAACCGGAAGTCGGTCGTATGCCAAAGATTGTCCCCGTAGTGCGTCGAGCTCGAGAAAAATCGCGTAACCGAAGGAGACTGTCGGCGAACCTTTCAACCAGCGTCTTCTCGTACGTTTGTAAACTATTTTCTATCGTGCTATCGATTTTTGATATTCGCGACCATGATTTCAACGCTTATTATTAGGGAGAGACAGAGAGACGATCGGAGCGCAGAAACATGAAAAACGGAAAAAAGAAGATTAAAGAAAAAAAAACAAACGATTACGTTAATTTTTCACAGGAAGAGTTGCATTATATCGATCGAATCTATATATATATATATATATATATATATATATATATATATATATATATATATATATATATATATATATATATATATATATATATATATATATATATATATATATATATATATATATATATATATATATATATATATATATATATATATATATATATATATATATATATATATGTGTGTGTGTGTGTGTGTGTGTGTGTGTGTGTGTGTGTGTATGTATAGAGGAGAAAGTCTCTTTTTATTTTTCTTTCCTTTTCAAGTACGATGTTCGGATATATAGGGAGTAATTCAGCGGAAATGGTCCGAGGCAAAAGGACGCTTATAACGTCACTCGAAATTTCACCTAGTATCGCCGGATGAAAATGATAATCACGCGTATTCACTTCGCACAAAAAGAAGAGAGAAAAGAAAGAAACAGAATCGTACGATCCTCTTGCCTCCGACGTACTCCGATTATTCGTTAAGTGTTAGACGAATTGAGACGCTTGAGAAATATAATTTATCTTACTAAACGTATTCTGCTTTATCATTTCTCTCCAAAGTGCACGTCGAGACGATTCGTAAACGAGATTCGTGCGTTCCTTCTCGCTTCTCTGTTTATTCCTCTTCATTCTTTTGGTTTTACTTCGATTTTATCGGGACTTTCAGGTTCGCGTTAAGTCGTTACTTGAAACTCGACAGAAATATTCAGATCTGAACTTGAGCCTGTACTAATAATTATTACATTGAGAAAAGATCTATTTGCAAATTTATTTGTGACTTAATAAGTGTATTCGCAGAGAAATAAACTTTATTTCACGGAAATAAATTTTATACTTCACAAATAAATTTTCCAGTATCTTTTTTCTCAGTATACTCGCGAAACTCGTCTCAAATGAAAAACTTAGATTTGAATTCAGAGTCAGATGAGAGTTCTTCAGCTGAATCGCAGTTACAGACACAAACGTCACATATATCATAATTTGAAAAATCGAGATCTAACTCTGAATGAAGATCTGACAGGCTATCTCACAGGCTATCTTACATAACAGGCAAGTTTCAAGTAACAGCTATTAATATTAACAGCTATTAATACGAGTTTTGGAGTTGAACGTGAGTCTTTCGGTTGAATCGCAATTACAAATACAACGTCACGAATATCGTATGACACAAATGACAAGCTCTGAGGTAACTTAAAATTCGGATCTGAATATCTCACGTGTTCTGGTACAAGAAAGGACGCCAACAACGGATCTCGGATGCGTCGCTCGAGGTCGCGTGACGATTCGCAATACCCCGTTTTCGCTTTCCATCGATTTGTTTCGCGCGGGAGAGAAGATAATAAAGAGAGAAAAGGAAATAGACGCGAGAACGGAACGGCATTTCGATCAGTCTCGAGATTTACGCGGAACGAACGGTAACGATGGTGAGCGCAGCGCGCACGACAGGTGATCTCCTTCGATCGATAAAGGACGATGAAAATGGGCATTCACGGAGCATCCGTCACGAGGCAAGGTACAAACGTTGGTAACGCTTTGTCACTCATCCGTCGGTGTATTTACCGAATAAGTCACGTTAAAGGTAATTTAGATGAGCGTATACCAGCGCGGCGCGTTAATGGTGCGCCTCGTGAGCCGACTAATTATTCTCACGGGTCGCAGATCAGGTCATGACGGGTCAAATTAAGACCCAAGTGAGATTTGTACCCGTTGTTTGGAACAGTTCGAAAGCGAGGCGTGCGCCGAGACTGGATTCTTAATTAATCTGATTAATTTGAACGATCAAAGGAGACATCTGAGTGGATGAATATGAAATATTTCTAATTAATTTACAATTCATTTTTTACCGAATTCAAGAATCCGTATCCAAGAATCTTTAAAACTTGACGTTTCCTTTCAGTTTTTGAAGCTGAATTTTCTTTCACTATTTTCTTACGTGTTGTTTTCGCGCCACCCGATTCGAAGTTTTCATTCTACTTTAACTCTGTGTATTCCGTCGAACTTAGAAGATCAATAGAGAATTTCGAGGTGCAAAATTACACAGGCTATTGTCTTTTAATGCTACAAATAGTTATGTGGTTATTTTATTAGAGCTTGAAGAACAACTTATCTAAAAATTATTTCTTCTTTTATTATCTCAATCGAATCTTTTATTATCTAATCCGCATTTAATCTTACTTCATTCTTAATTTTAATAAACAGTAAGCAGTAATGCAGTAGTTGTGTAGTGTGTAAGTAGTGAATATAAACAAGTGTTAAATAATCTACTAAAGATTAACAAGTGCGAACGGGTAAGTAAAACAACAAACCACCAGGATGTAGGCGCACTATTAACACGCCGCGCTTCGTACACGGCAATCACGGAAAGTGCGTCTCACGTCACTGCGCGCACTCCCGCACCGTCGACGAAGGATCCGATGTCATCTGCGAGGCGTAGCCTCCTATTGAGGTCACACGCGCCACGACTCGCAATCAACGAGATCACATTTGCAAAATGATCTCCGCGAACGAGAGGCTGCGCGTTTTTTCAAGCGCGCTCAGACTGTGCGAAACGCGATCCGCGACTTCCACAAGCAAAGTTTCCGAATTACATCTACGAATTGTCACCGTATTCTATTTCTCGCCAAGCGCGTGTCACAGTCGTCCCAAATAGCACAAGGCATGCCAAAATTATGATCGTGCTCAAAGGAAGGTGAAAGTACCAATACACGCACACCTAATCCTGAGCATTCTAGTTGTTTTGCTCTTTAAATACGAAAATATCTGGATTCTCAATATAAAATGCATATATATATGTAATTGATACATATATATTTTCTTTTGTGTTGAGAGTTTAAGTATTCGTATTTGAAGACTTAGATAATAAGAATGTTCGGAATTAGATACAGTCTAAATATTGATATTTTTGTTTTACCTGGAGAGTGTTCCAGCAGGTTTGTTTATACGTTTAACGCAGATATATGTGTTAGAAAAGCCGCGCAAAACAACAAAATTACAGAAATAAACCTATAGAATATTTTTAATCCTCCATTTGCTTCATTTTAAGAATAATTAAAATTTCAATCGTCTGTTACGGATTTTTTTTCAAAAAAGAAACATAAACATCGGGAATTAAACAATATATTTGTTCTGACTAAAAAGTAGAGACCTGAAATAAAAATGAGAAAAATGCCCAATTTTTTTTTAATTTATACGCGGAAAGATAAGTGGAGATGCTGTCCATGAAACAAACATGAAAAAACAAGGAAGAAGACGGAGGATTAAGCACATTCAAAATTTCAGGACATCTTGTGCTATCTCTTTGAGCGAGCGAGCTCAGAAAGCTCAGTTTCTCTGACGGAAGAAAACCTTCGTCAACGGGGAAGAACGAGGATCCAACTCGAGTCGAAGTGATTGACGCGACGTTTCTTCTCCTTATTGTATCTCCGCGAAATCCAGAATCCTAAAAACCTAGAATCTCGACGAGCAGATTCTCGCTCGTAGGACCCGAGAACGCGAGCCCAGTGTTCGCGTGTGAATCCTTCTTCATCGATAGGAACGATGAAGAAATTCAATGGGAGGACTCTCCAGGATCGGGATAGAATAGAAGTAGTAGCTAAGCACCAAACCGCATGCCTTATACGTGAAAATCCACGCGCCGACGCCATCGACACGCGCGATAGCGATTTCCTCTTCGGGGAGTCGGGAAAACGACGACGACACGTCCTTTTTCGCGAATGGCCGGCTGACCTTTCACGATCGCGGGCGATTTCCGCGAGTTCGCAACGCGGCTGTTCGCTCGATGGATTGCGACATGTCTGCGCGGAAATTTCACGTACCACCGATGAATTTGCACATCGCGTTTTATATCGGATAATAGATATTCACTTGGTGCTATACACTACTTTTAGGGCGAATTTTTCAATAGTAGTATTTTTAAACGTGGATTAAAATTCAAATTCTGCTCTAACAATGGCTTTAAGCGCTTATAAGCGTCACTCTATCTTTCTTCCGCATTTAATAAGCAATAAAGATAGAATGACGTTTACAGCGCGTGAGCGTCCAAAAGAAATGCAGCCAATGTGTTTGATATGTTTGTGGACAGAGTTTAAATTGAATCTTTCGCGCACAATACTGGATCTATGAGACCCGAACGAACATTCAATCGCTGACCGACTTTCGTAAAAGGCTCAAAAAAATTTCAGGACAGCGCGAATCTGTCTACAGATCTTAATTTTATCGCGCTTACTCTTTCATAACTAAGAATACGGAAAATATTTCGGGAAAAATGTGTTCAAGAATATTGATTTTCAACAAAGCTGTGTGTGGCAGTTCAAAGTCGACCGGATTTGACAGACCTAGATTGCACTGCATGTCCCAAAAATATGATTGTACGCGGAAGGTTAAATCTAAATTTAACTTGTTACCGAAGAATCGGTCTTTATATAGTCGCGATGTCGAAATTATTTCTTAGTGCTAATCGTGAAATTACTGTCTTGTGCATTCAAGTACCTTCCCTTTGATATTGGCAAACTCAACGTCTCTATTTGCACTTACAAATAATTAAAAATACAAATAATTAAGAATACAAATAATTAAGAGTAATTAAGAATAAAAAATAATTAAGAATAAAGAAATATTATATCGTTGATACAACCGCGCGATCTTTTCTATCAACTTGGAAGATAATAAAAGGGAAACCAGCAATTTCGAGATCGTCGTCTCACTCGTGGAAATCGCATCCTGCGCATCCAAAAATAACGACTCGATACGTGACGCAGTTCCTCTCGGGGGAGATCGAACTAGGGGATGGCGTCGGGACGTGGATCGTAGGATACACTTGATCCGTGTGTTATTACGAAGCGTCTCAGCGAGGATGATTCCAACTGTCACGAGCAAGTTCCACATCGGACTAGTCTGGATACACCGTATATTTCGACAATCGTCGAATCGTAGCGCGGGCATGCCCGACTGACACGTGGCGTTGAAGTCACTGGGAGAAATCGCCACGCTTCGTTATCACGAAGCAACTGTGTACGTCGCAGCATGGAACGTCGCGTCGAAATGACAGAGATATGTGCAACGCGACTCGGCGAGATCCTCGCGTTGGGTTATATAAATTACAAAATCCCACGTGCATCTCTCTCACTCCGCGCCGTGACACGTACAGACACGCGAACACACACGTACACACGAACGCATACGAACACATACGTTTTCAACGATAAAAAATTTATATATATATATATATAAATATAATATATATATTGTATGATATATGTGTGCTCCCTCGTAACTTATCTCGCCTACGTTGTTGGACTACGATATAATTCCACGGCGTAAGAATTAGCGTACTCTCTAGAGTGCAATCTCTCAGTGTATTCTTCACTGAAATGCTATATTTATAACTGACGATTCAGTTATAAATGTAGCACTGCATTCAGTAAAATCTCGCTGAAAGAATCAATTGACAGTAGCGACTGTTCTTATTATTGATTCAGTTTGCGAACACAGACAAAGTACTATTGCACGCGAATCGCATGGAAACCGGTAATTTCATCGCCAGAAACGCAGTAAGATGGATTTGATACAGCGTATAACGAATTTATAGTGTACAAATTTTGCAGCGAAATCTCTTCCACTGGTCAAGATTAGTGAAATATAAGATGAAACAGTAAAGTGAGAGTGTTTCCGCTGAAAATCAGCAAATATTCACTTATCGATGATTAACGCTCCTTTTGCTGATCAAAAACATTTTCACTGATTCACTTTAAGAGAGTACGAAGCACATATATCGTTACCGATAATATTGTTCGATCATGATGTTATTGCCGGTCGCGATCGGACGCTCCGTCTCTCCGCCAGTGTCGAACTGTCAAATGAAACTCCGCCAACGAACGAGAGATACCCGCGAACGAACGTGAGCTGGTCGTTTCAGGGAGAGCCTGGCGGACAATTTGACGACTGAAAAATTACGTACGATCGCTCAAAGACAGCGTACTCTGAAATTCCAGTATTATGAAATCTTAGGATTCATTTATACAGTAAAAAATGAAAGATAAATTTGGTTCACAGAAAGTTTATTCTAAATTTTAAGTAGAATTAGCATACACATAACGTACTCATTCGTCGTGTTGATAAACTGAAAATCTTATTTAACTAACATTTACATTTCCTTTTAGTATATATCTTAGTTCTTTTTCTTCTTTCGCGTTTCTTCAGTTAACACATACGTGAAATATTATTGTTTCGATACAAAAATTGTTGCATCGTACTTAAAGCCAAAACAACAAACATAAATGTAAGAAGAGAATCTTACAACATTTCAAACAACATTTTTAACAACAACATTGTCAACAAGCGAAACACGACAAATGAGTTGTCTTTATCTGAAATTTGAAGTGAATTTTCTCGAGCATAAAATTGATACTTTATTTTTCACTGTGCAAAATGCAGAAAATTCAGGTAGTACTTTTTGTAAAACAAATTTCTCTGCAATGAACGCGTTCGAAGCAAGAATGAACAGAGTCCGTGATGCTTACAAGATGCTCACATCAAGTCACATCGAGACCAGATTGACTCAATTGACTCCTGGCTCTTTCGGAGTAATCCTTGCGCGCAAGCGAAGGATCAAGGAGCGATGACGATGAAGAGATCCGAAAATACGAGCGCGACGGTGATGACGTAGGTGCGCGTTGTTGCATCGGTTTCGATCGTCGAGGATCGAATCTAGTACAAAATCGATAGTCTTACCGTTTCCGAAGGCCGCCCGCGAAACTGACTCTTCGACACGAGATCACGGACATGCGACCGGCGAGATCGAGCGACCGATGCGTCGACCTTTGACACCGACGATACTGCCTCTCCTCGCGCACGAACTAAATTTGTAAGTTATTGTCCTCTATCCCCCGTCGATGGAGGATACACAACAAATATATCGACATTTTTAGACTAAACTCCAGTGTATTCATTTGCACTCGACTCGACAAACAGGAGAATGTCGTCGCCAACTTGATTCACGATGAGCGCACGATCGGTGCGATCGGTCCTGTGCAATCAATGCGTCGCGATTCGCGGGTGATAAGCCGCTGACAACCACGTCGCTGAGTATCACCGAGGGAAAAGGCACGCGACACGAATATTGATTCGGCGCGAACGGAGGTGTCGTCGCTAATGAACTCTTCACGTGATTGGATTTATAATTATATTTAGTATTTTGGCGTCGTGTCGTCGGGGTAATCGATAAGAGACTTATTCTCGGATTCACTCTCGGCGGGCGATCGTAATGGTTGACACACACGTCCGAAAGAATACGCTCCGCGCGTCGAGATCGCAATTTTGTGATTGAGCAGTCAGGAAGATTTGAGCCCTCAATTTTGCCTCGGCGCGAAGTCTCATCGCTCACCTCAATCTCCCGATCTTCAACATTATACAGCATGTTTGACAATTATTGACACACCCGTTGCGAACAGAACTCGTCAAAATGAATAGAAAATTTCTCTACCATTTCGCAAACACGTAAAATTTTGAGTCATTAATTAAAGAGGACTGATAAATGTGTGTATGATCATGGCGCGATACGATAGATTAGCTGTGACGGCGACGTTTGCTATTGTGTACTTGTACGTTAGGCCAAACTGAACAAAAATGTACTCGAAATAAAATCAAAGGCTCTGAAGATGCAAATAAAAATTCGAAGAAAAGGCAATTAAAAGCCAAATATCGATACAGAAATTTGTTTTAATCGATAAATGACATTTACAAAAATGATGAAGCAAACGTATCGACCCCGAAGTTTGGATTTCCTTCAGCGCAAATTAATTATTAATAATATTAATAATAATATTGATAAAAAACGCATTATTACAAAAAAATGCTCAAATTGAATTAATGTATATATGTGAAAAAGTCCTTTACCATTTTGCAAATGACCAATGATTTTGAGTTATTAATTAATGCCTGATTGTCCGCGATAATACACCAATCTTCTTTAACTTTTCAAAGCGCATAATTCATGGAACATTCTAATAACTTTTTTTCAATGAAATATTGTCAAAAACACTCTAAATAGCACATTTATAAAGTTTTAACTGCTCGATCCTAAGTGATCCTTATTGGCACCAGTGATACTTAAACGATTAATTAATAACTAAAAATCTACGTGATCACTCGCAAAATAGTATAGGGTTTTTCGTTTAGTTGACAGTAATGTACATACAAGTACACAGTGACAAACGTCAATAGAATTCAACGGCAAAACACATTTGATATTAAATTCACGTCTGAGTATTTTACACGTAAGGAAAGTTTCAAATAAGATCAAGTAAATATATATGTGTGTGTGTGAATTCATCGGAGAATCTATCGTCGAAATGAAAACTGCAACTCGCGCAAGCTACCATCTACGTCTGGGGATGTCCACTGATCGCGGCTACTTTGATAACTGACATATATCATCTCACACGACGGCGGTGCACTATATTGCGAATGTGCTGTCAGATCGATAGCGGCGCATCGCGTGTCACGAGTGATCGCGTGCAGAATAGGATCACATCGTGCCAAAACGGCGCATCCCGAATGACCGAGCCTAATTCTCTCCCATTTAAGTACTGTTCAACTCGCTGAATGTCCCAAAACCGCGGGTAACTTACGGTCTCTCAGGAGAACGCGACAGCGCTCGATAAAGTATCTCGTGTTCATTCGAGATACCGAAGTATGACAGTATCGTTGCCTCGTTGTCCCAATTTGGCAGATTGAAAAAACTTCCTGATTTCAAACAAAAAATATGCTATATGTATTTCGAATAAAATCCTACCCGATTGTGTGTGTTCTCTGAAAACATCGCGATCAAGGAAGAAAACGTAACCGAAGTCGCCTCACGATCTCGATCTCTCGGTAAACCGCCGCTTACCACACGGAAATGCGGCCGTCTTTCGCGGAAATACTCGCCGCAATTTCCGTCGATAAAATAATAATTGACCTACATCCCTTCCTACTTCCACGAAAAATTTTGTCTCAGGCGTAAGGAGAAAAAAGTTCAGAGAGACACTTGTGTCCAATTTCCTACCTTCCATGTGCAGAAAGTTTTTTTTCACCTCGCATGTATCATATCTTATCAAGGTTTTTGGATACTCACTGCCATATTGGATCGTGGCGTCTCAATAGCGAGAAATGACACATGCTAAAAGTTCTTGCGTGCCATTTGCGAATAAAAAGACATTTGTATGGAAGAGCACGTCAGATCACGCGAGCGTACTTGCAAAATGATCCAAAAACTATCCCTCTCTCTTGATAATCAATAAACAGCTGTAAAATAAACGTGACAAAATCACAAGGAAAGGTAGGTTAAAGAGGAAGATTGTAAATCACGTTAATTTCACGGTTATTTATTGATTGTCAAGGAAAAAGGATGATTTTCGGAATATCTTAGAAGTCTACTCAAATGATCTCACGTCTTTTTACATAGAGATATCTTTTTACTCGGAAATGGCACGCGCAATAATTTTGGGCATGCGTCTTCTCGCTTCTGACATCGTCAATCTAGAGTTTTGGGGCGAGTGCTCAGAAGACTTAAGCATTATATTCGCACAAAACTCTGGAGACACACTGTCGCTTCCAAAAGCGACACCAGTGAGAAGAGAGACAGACGTTTTCATTGGTCGTGCTCCCCCGTACTTCGGAATGAAAAGTGAAATGTACTTACCTTAGTGCGCTTCCACTCCACGTTGAACTTGACACGATTTCGCATTTCGCGCGGCTAATTAGCGACTCGAGAGAGCGCTCGCATTCGTACGCAAACACCAAACGCCTCAGTTTTACACCACTTTATACAAATTTATTATTCTCTTAAACACAATTTCGCTTTGTTCGGTTGTCTGTTTCTCGATCGTCGTCGTCGTCGTAATCGTAATTGTCGCCGCCGACGACGTATGCAAAAGAACCTTAAGAGGAAGTATATGTATTATTTCGGCTTTACAAAAGTTACATCTAGTTGTCCGGCGCGCATTTAGCTTGTAGCCCTCTTTTTCTCGTTGACACCTTCTTTCGCGTTCTTCTTTCTCACCCCCCCTTTTCTTTCTCATCCCGCGCATAACGTATTCTTCCCTCCTGCGTCTCCCTTTCCGCGACTCTACCCACGTTTCCTTTCCTCCTTCCGACGAAAGTGGAATCGCGAATAGTGTCTGGTGAACTCTCCCGCCAAAAGCGCTCCCGTAGCCGAGCGCGCTTCGCATTCGACACGCGAAAAGATACGAGAATAAAAGAGCGCTCCTCGCGCGCTCGTCCGTCAAAAATTACGACCACGTCCTTCCTCGGAATCCTCACGAAAGAAAATTGTAAGAAATCATCGTTCCCCGATTCAATAAACGAAGTGAGGTTTCCCAGGCGTACTTCGCGTGCGATGGACGAGCGCGTGAAGTGAACGAGGAATAAATGTCAGAATAGTACGATTACCGATGCAGTTGGCTAAAATCAGATGTTCCACCTGCTGTCAGATCAATCGCGCGATGTCGAGATGCACGTCTGTGTATTCCGACGCGACATCTCGGCGTTCAATAATATTTTCGTCGATTGTCATACCGATTGTTACATTAGCGATGTCACACACTCTGCATTCCTCGTGTTTTATTTTCATATCTCGAATCGTGCCTTGGACCGTTATACTTCATTCGAGCGGGTCGATAATCTTTCTTTCTCCCCTTTCGTACTCTCGCATGACATGCGGCATATGTGAACCATGTGCCGTAATACTAACGAGGGCCAATTTCGCAGACATTCGTTTCAACTTTAACCGGTGGTACAATTGCGCCAACACCTTCACTTCACCTCTCTGCAAAAGCGAGGCATGGACCGGTCGAGCGTTTGAAGTTTGATAAATTGCAATAAGCTGAGCTACGATTCCTAGTGCTAGCGGATTAGAAAGCACAGCGCGTTTCGAGACACTTTGTCAAAAGTGTCAAAGTCATATGTGGCACTTTATCGTGATCAGGGTAAACACTCTTATACTCGGTTACTATCTAGGAATATTGCATGAAATATAATCAAGTTTGATATTTTTCGTAATTAAAGATACAAATATTTTTTTTATTCTCCTCGATCATATTCAAGATCTAACTTGCTAATAGTTTATCCGAGTTGCTTCATTTCCAAACAACACTAAACAACGTCTAAAATGTTACGTTGGTGCAAAAAGTTTGTGTCATGTCAAATAAAATAAGGAAACGGAATTGTCTAATTTCGAAGGAATAATAATTTTTAAGAATAAAATAAACAACGGCTCGATATATTTTTCCTATGTTTTCTTATGCTCGTTAATAATATTCCACATTATAGTTTATTAAAAAAAATAACAAATCTTTTGTGCCAACCTAATACGTCTTAGAAATATATAAAAAAAAATGTTTCAATCAAGTGGGATGTTTTAGGCACCTTCAAGACGTCTTGCAGACACTTACGTCTGAATAATCTCGATGAGTGAATAAAGTCTCGATGATCTTACAGTCGGAACAGTGAAGGTGTATCATTTCTATCGGCCTCTCAAAGTTGTTTGATGAAGTAAGTAAGTGAAATATGATCCTACATCTCCTTTTAATTCCTGTTAGCAGAAGGACACAAAGCGTCAGCCGGTTAAAGTCGACCCGACGTCGGCGACATCGGCGCCGAAAGGGGAAGAACGCGCGATTCGTGTCCCCGCATGCGGTTCTCTCGTGTCGACGAGGAAGCACGGAAACGGAGTCGCGGAAGAGCGAGAACGATACGAGTGCCTGGACGACGAGTGTGCCTAGGAGTCACTTTGCTTCTGAGATGCGTTTTTCCTTTTTTATTACAATTATTACTTCAATGTTTATTCCTTCCTTTGTTATCAATAAAAATCGTTACATAGTAGTTTGGGCCGCTGCTTGGCGTCAGACGAATCGACAAGCAACCAGTTATAGTAATAATAGCAGTAGTAGTAATAGTAGTAGTAATAATCGGTAGCGGTAGTCGTGTACATGTTTGTTTGTATGTATGTGTGTTTGTCACGTGTGGCCGCTCCGTGCATCGATAAACACGCGCGCGTGTGCGCGCAGGTGAGACGAAAGATACACGGCAGGAATTCGTCGCAGGTGCAGCTGGCCACGTGGGCCTCTCGTCCTCTCAACACGTCTCGCACATCGACGAGATTCCCGTTGCGTTCCAGAAATCGCCGGACCGCGCGCGCACGACGTCTCGACCCTTCCGTCGGCAAATTTCTACGCGCGTGTCGCATTTTTCCCTATTGTCCAGGCGAGTGAAGAGCACATCCAGAAAGAAACGCTAAGAAAAAGCCACGACGAGCAAACGAAAGAGAGCGGAACGCGAATCCCAAGCGACTGCTCCCGTCGATGCTGACGACGACGACGTCGGCGGGGTAAGAAGAGATAAGGACACGAGACAGGAAGGAAGAGAGAGAGGAAGAGAGAGAGGAAGAGAGAGAGAGAGAGAGAGAGAGAGAGAGAGAGAGAGAGAGAGAGAGAGAGAGAGATACAGAGATACCAAGAAGGAAGGGGAGATAAAAGCGGCGATTAGAGCGATTAGATGACAGCTCGACGTTGGTGTAAAATCGCGCGTAAAAATCGTTCGAAGCCGCGCGCGAGGAACTTCCGCTGATACCGCGGCTACTTTATCGTCGCGCGCCTCCTCCTGCCGACTACGCGGTGGATCGATAAGGAAAATAATTATACAGTTTTCTCGTGACGTCACGTGATTTTATCGAGTCATATAGAAAAGAAAGTGTCCGACAACGTCGCACGCAAATACGAAGGTTCGCCAATAATGACGGTCGCGGAAAGTCTAGTGCCGGAAGGAATCGAATGTTGAACGACTTGCTGTCGTTCAGTATGACGCACGCTGAAAGTTAGACGGCTAACTTCTTTTATGTGCGACGCGAACTGATCGTTCTGACCTGAAGAAAGTGACATACGAAATTTTCTTTTTCACACTGCTATTCGCGCCAGGCAGGCTCTTCACACGCTAAATGGTGAATCTCGCGAAGGAATCTTGCTGTCGGTCTACCTGATCCGAGTCCGAAGCCGTGCGGCGACACTCCTCCTCTTCATCCTCGCGCTCACGTGCACGTATTTGGATGCGAGTGCACGATGTGTTCATGTGTTGCGTACGTGTCTATATGTTTCTATGTTCATACATATGCTGGTGTGTATCTGTGTTCTTTTTTTTTTCGACTCTTTCTCTCTTACTCTTTCTTCCTCTCTCACACTTTCTCTCTCTTTCTCTCCCTCTCTCTCTCTTTCTTACTCATCCCTCTCTCTCTCCTCTCTCCCTTTCCTTCTCTCTCCTTTTATCATCGATAAAAATCTCAGCATTTTATGACACATCGTTCGCGTTTTGTTTTTATTCCTCTTACACATAGCAATAATAAAGACAGTAAATAGCTAAAAAGGACCGTATCGATTCCTGGGGGGATAGGGGAGGCGGCCAGGATTGCGGCCAATCCGTGCCGTATCACCCGCTGCCGCATGCTCGCCCGCATCGTATCATCATCATTATGTTTATCATCGTCATCAACATTATCGTTATCATATCGCCGCCCCGTCAACGCTCTATCATCATCCCTCCGCCCTCGCTACTTTGTTCCTCTCTCACTCGCTTATCAATCACACTTTCTCTCTCTCGCTTTTTTTTCTTTCTCTACGCTCGCTTGCTTTTTCCTCATTTTCTTCTTTAGTTTCCTCGTTATCTCGTCGTCAGCTTCAAAGTATCAATTTTTTCCGATCATCGCTTTCACTACTTTCTCCTTTCCTCTTTCATTCTCACATTCGCGCTCTCTTTCTCACCCTTGCTCTCTATCCAAACGCAAAAGAAAACCTCTCACACACTGTTATTTTTTTTTTAATTCCCTTTCACTCTGTCTCAGTCTCACCGAATTACTCCTAACACTCGCTATATCTTTTACTCCCACCCTCACTCTCCCTCTCTTTCTCACTCGCGCGCGCTCATCCTTTCGTGCCCTACGAAAAAGATTGTAAATCTCTAACACAATAGTTTATTATTAATATTTATTATTATTACTTCTTATACGTAATTCATGTGTGTATATATCGTCTTTCTGTCGGCGAAATGCCGCCAAGCAGTCACAAAAGTTCAACGTGTCGCGCTCACTCTCTCACTCTCTTTCTCTCTCATTCTCTCTTCCTTTTTTATTCTCTCCCTCTCCCTCTCTCTCTCTCTCTCTCTCTCCCTCTCTCTCTCTCTCTGATATCTATCGATGTGTGTGGTTCGTCGTTTCGTGCGCGAGTGCGCGAAACGAAAAGCGAGTGTACGCGTGTACGTGTTTCAAGCCTCAAAGACGCGCCATGCCAATTGACGTACCGCGCACGTGGCTTCGACGGCCAACAATATGATCTACACATCATATTAATCGAGGACTTCGGATACGTGATTCGAGGCGAGGTCGATCGCTTTCGCGGTCTACTCTCGACACGTTCTTCACGTGACCACCTTCGTCGGATCGCTCGAGAGCTCAATGAGTTCCAGATCGGCGCCAGTTCGGCATGAAGCGAGCCGATTCTCGCGAAAGTGACGCGTCTTCGTAGAACAATCGGAGCGGGGGACATGACGCGACGCAGCGTCGTGTCCCGTAGCCGCCAGTTGCCGCGCGGCGATCCGCGACGCGCGCGTCGCGATATCTGACCGCGATGGAAGGAGCATTTGCGAACTCCGACGCGCGACACGTCGGATACAATCCGCGCTTCTCGATGTTATCGAAGCAAATCGGAATTAAAGAAGCGCGTCGCGGCGGCCGTTCCCGATCGATTTCCGTCGCTTCGCCCGCGACGCGCCGCACGCGGACACGAAATATTTCGCGCGTCGCGATCGCCGCCACTCGCGCGCTTCTCGGCCGCGCGTCGAAGGAATTGTCGCGTAGAGAGCAGATGTGACAGTCACATATTGGTACACCTTCGATATCGCGCTATCCGATATAGCCGATACGTTCTACCGCGTTCTCCAGACGTCCACGTGCGTCACGCGTGCGTGTCATGTCACATGACAAAGTACACCTGCCCTCAACACGATTTCAAAACTTCCCTGCCCGATGCAATTTGACACGACGATAATCCAATAGTCCATTAGTCAAATAACCAAAAGCCAATAGTCCAATGAGAGAACTTGTTCTTGATTAATTGTCAGAAGTTAAGTTCTCTCATCGCATCATTGGCGGCGTTCCAAAGTGCATCGAGAAAAAAGTGTCCAATCATCGTCTCGAAAGCAAGTGTAAACGTCTACAAAATTTCAACGCGTAGATGCTTAAGTACGTATACGTGCCCGTCGCTCGCGAGAACGCGGTTGTTGCGTGCGCGCGCGCGCGCGTATATATGTGTACAGGTAGCGGCGAGAGGAGGGACGAAGGGAGAGAAAGAAGAGAGAGAAAGAAAGGGAGACAGAAAAGATGAAGGGGAAAAGGGTGACAAGAAGGAAGGGTGCATTAGTTACGTATGTGCGTGCGTGTATTCGTTGCGGACGCGCGCGCGCGCGCGTGCTTGCTTCTTCTTTTTTTCATTTCAGGTCGCGTCAAAGAGCCGAAGAGGAGAGAATGATTACTGGGGTGGTGAATGGTTGCAGTTGTAGATGTTGTATTGTAGTAGTTCTTGTAATTGTCGTTGTTGTGCTTTTAGTAGATGTTGATATAGTAGGTGTTCATGTAGTTGTTGTTGATATAGTTGTTGATGTTGTTGTTGCTTCTCATCGTGGGGCCGCGCGGCAGGCTTGCGGCAGTTCCGGCGCGACTCGTGCGGCATGGCGCTTTCCATTCGCTGTTTATTTAAAATAATCGATCGTATCGTTTATTATTAATATTAGATATTTTGTGTTGGGTCCCAGAGGTTACTGAAACAGAAAGCAGGGTTAGGGCGCAGGTTAGTCGGCTGGCTGCCGAATGTGGATCGTCGTTGGTCTCTCCGAGCACCTGCGCGTACTCGTTGTTCTCGCTGGATGAAGGTAGGAATAACGAGACGAGAGTCTCGGAAACTCATCGTCGGGGGGCGCACCGTCACCTCGAGATTTCTTTCAGGAAGATATGCCAATTCCCACAGTCTCTGTACGACTCATTTGCGCGTATCATTCGTGCTTGTATCAAGCGAAATTTAGCGAAATTAAAGGAATTAGAAATTGAAATTAAAGAAGAATTTTTCTTCTTATTTGGTGGCTTAAAAAGAAAGTGAATGGAACGATCCGGCATTCGCTTCTGAATATGAAATAAGACATAAGAATGTATATGAAATAAAAATGTTAGAAAGATACAGGAACGAACTTCGTAGACGCAACCCGCAAACGCTTTACTTTTACAAGTGATCTCGTATTCCTACCTTCTCCTTTACGCAACGATGGAAAAAATCACTTGATCCATCGTGACGATCTAATCATTTTTTAATCATCCAGTACATTTCAAATTCTACCTCTAATGTAAAAGCATCATTGCCTAGACAACCTATCCAATTGTTATTTTTAACTTTTGTTTTGGTCTTCAAATATAAATATTTAAGGTTTTGACTTTGAACATATATATATATATATATATATATATATATATATATATATATA